TTCTTAGACTTCTGTTACATCTTATCTGCTCGCCAGAACGTAAGACTGTTATGTTTTTAAATTTTTTTTTCAGTTATCTCGTAAGGTTTGAAAGCTAGAAAGTTTGTTCAAATGTCATTTGACGCAGCTCATCCTACTCTATTTATGCTATCAGAATGATCTTTTTTTAGCTGAAGTCTCGGATTTCTAGAAAGATTTTACCATTGCATAACGCTGTTACATATATAAATGGTAACAAAGATTTTCTCTAAATTATTTTTGTTTCGGTAAAAAGTGCCAAAAACAAACGCAATGTTATCACACAGTTTTTTTTCGACCAATTTTGGGACACTTAACATGCTCATAAATATTGATCTTCTCTATATATCTAATTGTTCTACCGAAGCATCAAGTTGCTACATTAAAACGGTAGCTCATTAACTGTACAAGTTGCTCTTAGCGATGAAAGTCAAAAATAAGTAGATGATTTTGTAGAGAACTAAATTTTGCATCAAATGATATATTACTCAGCATTCTTTAAGAAAATTTTTTGATTAGGAAATTGAAAATATGATTTTTGAAAATTTAAAACCTGATTTCCGATACCAAAATCCAATTTTTTCTAAATAACAAATGTTAAATTCGTAATTAGCGTGAAAAACAGCACCTAATAATGCATTTAGATCTATCCAATTCGAAAAAAAATTTTTCAAAAATTTGATCAGTGAAGTGTTATGTCACGTGAACAAGCCGTTATACTAACTTATATTAACTGAATAGAACAACATAAAACTATAAACAGATAATCATTTATCATATTTCATACATATATACGATTTTTAATACCTGTATGAAGACAAAGTGAAGCTATTTTTGTTGCATATCTTACAAATAAGATTAATATGAATATGACATATCTTTTTGTTTTTGTGTGACCAAAATTCGATATAAAAGTATTGAAAACGTTTGTATAACCTAATCTTTGTTTCCATTACTGAGCTTTTACTAGATATATTTGCTGTATTCAAACTTTCATGTTAATATATATTATTTATTTTTAAAAATGATGTAGGTCTGTCTTTTCGTGTTCATTATTATAATTTCTATTTTCCGTTCGTGAATGTCATTGTTCTCTAATTTTTTTTAATCATCATTCATTAATAAATACACAGATAGTGTCTATCTAGTTTTCTTGATAAAATAATCCTCATGTATTTTTAGACTCATTAAAAAATAATAAACAAAATAAATTTAAACATTTTTTTAGCTGATCATTTCATATTTTCTAATTTTAAGTATAAATTTACATATCAATGATAAATTTTCTGCATCCTTAAATACTTTAATTGCAATTCTAGGTCGTTTGAAATTTTACATTTTTTTTTTCTTTTGAGAAAATTATAAAATTTGAAAAACATTGAATAATGAGGATATTTAAGATAGAAATCGAGATAAATTCTAATGAAATGAAAACAATGAAAGAATTTATAATAAAAATTGAACTTCAATTTTAATTTATAGATTAAAAAAGCACCAAAATGATATGGTGGATGTTCCAAAATGTTTCCAACATGGTTTTTTTTGGTATATATATATATCTCATAGAAAACATTATAAAATCTTGAGTATTTCAAAAGATACTCCTTCATAATCTCTATGATAATTATGTTAAAAGATCTTCTTGACTTAGTTTAATCAGTTCTAAGAGACTTAAACAGAAAGGTATGCGAGGTGAACAACTATCTATCTAAATAGACAAGCAAATTGATTTTGAGAACTGATTAAAAGCATCTATCAGATCTTGTATATTGTTCCATTTAATTTCTCTTAGAATCTATCCGAATAAATCAAGGAAATCTTTTACATTGATTATTATAGAAAAATTTAATAACATATCTTTAAAAAAAACAATTGCAAGTTCTTATAATTTATTGTGTAGAGATAGATGCAAAATAAACTATGTTGCAAACATATTTAGACACCTAGTAATGTTGCATTGAAATATAGACTTGTCATTAAAATAAAAATTGATTTTTACTTAACAAGTATTTCATAAGGACAATGAACATTCTCAACTACTTTCGAATACGAGAGCAAAAAAACAAATTTTTCATTCTTTACTAGTAAAAGGTCTTTTTATCCTACGCCTATTTGAAGATAGCCTATTTTTATCAATAGTACTTTATGAACTATGATGTAGTTGTAATAAATAATAAAAATAATATAGAATATGATTACTCTTCATTGATAGTGATGCAACACTTTTCGGTGATTATTAATTTATATTACCTTGAAAATTATCATTTATGACCATGATACCATATTTTTTGAGTCCGTATTTTGTAATGAAAATTTCTATGATTTATATCGTAATTAATTTCACTTCTTATCAACAGAAAGTTACTTATTACTTCAATACATTGTTTTCAAGGTTTTATCATTAAAAATTCATTTCCGATTAATTCTTAATCAATATAACCATATGAGAATAAGTCCCAGAATAGAGATAAATGTGGTAAAAGTTTAATAATAACTAGAAGACCATTATATAGCGTCGCAATACAGCTAATGATAAAATCAACCTTACATTTATGATCAGTGGATGTTAACACTAAGCATAAAATTATTTGGAACGTATAATCAGTGTCATTTCTTTCTGATAGACAACTGCATCAAAAGTAGAATCTGTATTCGACACTATATTCATACTCAGCTTTGTAAGTTTAGGATTCAATTGATCAGCCATGTACAAAACAAAGAACTCGAAACGTTTAATTAACGCAGAGCTTAAATTAAAATCTAGATGACACCTTATACAGTACATTAATGCAATTCACGTCATCTTTCACAAAGATTCGATGTATCTGAATTATTTCTCAAACATTTTACATGGCATAAAAAAAGATTTTTTCATCAGTACATAGTCCATAGTATTTTCTACTGATTTAAGTAAGAATCTAAAAGCAAAACTAAATTTTTTGCATAGCGTCGTTACAAAAATGCTAAAAGTCATACAAATGTGAACTGAATGACCCAGATTAAGATCATTTGAATTACTCAAGCAAAATATGTTGAAATTATATAAATCATTTCAGCGATTTCCGCTAAAGAGAACTTACATAACATCTAGAAGTTTTTGAGTACGTTTTCAAGTGTTAATCATGAGAAGAAAGTTGTT